CCCGCCACAACGCCCGGCTATTTTTTGGTTGCAGCCGTCATTGTTGTTTGGCGGGTCCGGGCTGGGGATTCGAACCTGCCACCTTAGGTGTACATGGCTGGCGCCTTAGCCTGTTGAGCTATAGGCGCCAAGCCCATATGTAAGAATATTAAATGCTATAGCAAATCTTGAGTGTTTCTGTAATATTCTTTTTTTTTTTGGAGACAAAGTCTCACTCAGTAGAGTGCTATAGCGTCACAGCTCACAGCAATCTCAAACTCTTGGGCTTAAGTGATTATTTTCTTGCCTCAGCCTCCCAAGTAGATGGGACTACGGCGCCCACCACAATGCCTGGCTATTTTTTGTTGTAGTTGTCGTTGTTGTTTGGCAGGCCCAGAGTGGGTTTGAACCTGCCAGCCTCGGTGTATGTGGCTGGTGCCCTAGCTGCTGAGCTACAGGCACTGAGCCTATATATATATATATTTGAGACAGAGTCTCACTATGTTGCCCTTGGTAGAGTGCTGTGGCATCACAGCTCACACCAACCTTAGACTCGTGGGCTTAAACAATTCTCTTGTCTCAGCCTCCTAAGTAGCTGGGATTACAGGTGCTTGCCACACTGCCCGGCTATTTTTTGTTGCAGTTGTCATTGTTGTTTAGCTGGCCCGGGCTGAGTTCGAACCCGCCAGCCTTGGTATATGTGGCTGACGCCATAACCACTGTGCTATGGGCACTGTAACAATATATGAATTCAAGTCTGATAAATTTATGGAATTTCTGAAAAGCAATTTTAGTCATGTAAAACCATTTTGTAGTCATACATAGATGAAAAATGGTCAGAAGTGCTTTTTCCTTCTATGATTTTGTTAAATGATAAAATTACCAAGAAGATAGTGACAAATTAAAATAAAGATAAGACTTGTATCACTCTTTGAGAGATACAAAGGCTGGAGGAGGGTATCATTGCAGTGTTTGGGAACATGAAGATTTGAACAAAGCAAACAAGCATTCATCAAATTATACATTATTAATTAAGACTTGTCTCACTGAGTTTCATGTAGCTTATTTTAAGTTCTCAAGATAACTTTAGGCACAGATGGATAGATGACTGTGCCTGGTATCTTCTATTTCTCCTCCCTCATCCCCCACTCCCTGCTCCCCCCATTCTTCCTCCTCCTCATGCCGTACTTCAGTGGACTCTTCTTGCCCTCTGGCTTCCTCTTGAGTATGGCACAAGTGCTTTATTTTTTCCTTTTTCACTTCTTCCTCCCTCCCTCCGTCCCTTTTCCCTCTTCCTTTCTCTTTTTTCTCCTCTCCTCTGCCCCCTTTCTTCCTTCCATTTTCTTCCCCTGATACTCCCTTTCCTTTCTCTTCTTCCCTCGCTCTCTCTTCTCTCTCCCTTGACCTTTCCCTTCTCTCCTGCTTGCTGGAGTGCTCTCTGGGTGTTGTAGTGCTCTGTCTAGGCCCTCAGTTGAATGTAAGTCAAGGTAAAATTTAGGAACTGGATTGTAGTATTGGGGAATGATGGATTAGGGAAGCATGTCTCCAGTTGTCATTAGCTATTGAAAAATCTCTCAACAGAGCAAAATATAGTAAAATCAATGGTAAACATGTACCAATTCAGGGTGATATTAAAAATTAGAGGCTCGGCGCCTGTGGCTCAAGCGGCTAAGGCGCCAGCCACATACACCTAAGGTGGCTGGTTCGAATCCCCAGCCCAGGCCCGCCAAGCAACAATGATGGCTGCAACCAAAAAATGGCCAGGCGTTGTGGCGGGCGCCTGTAGTCCCAGCTACTTGGGAGGCTAAGGCAGGAGACTCGCTTGAGCCCAGGAGTTGGAGGTTGCTGTAAGCTGTAATGCCATGGCACTCTACCCAGGGGGATAGCTTGAGGCTCTGTCTCCAAAAAAAAAAAAAATTAGATATATTTTGGTTGATTTGTATTTTAGTTTTTTTCATAATTATAAATTTCTTTAATTGTAAAACAAAATAATCTAGCTTTAGAGATGGATTTCTTCAACTGAATAAATAGGATTTTTAATCTGGAAGTATATCATTTGATTATTTGCTGAAATACTTTTTCCTTTAAACAAATTACTACCTTAAATTTATTATACTATTATACTATTACCATTATTTATTATTTTGGAATAAAACTGTATATAAAATATTTTTCTTTTGTTTTCACAAATGTCATTCTTGTTTAGTTTTTGGTATTTAGAGGCTGTTTTGGGAGGAGATAAAAATTGTACTGATTTTGAAACCCTATGAAATCTCATTAATTTAATAAAATCAGAATCTTAATTAGTAATCTAGTTACATATAGCTTTTCTAACTTAATCATGTTTTTGTTTTACTGCTTTTGCACTTTGATATAGTATCAGCTGAGCAATAACTGTCACCTTGTATTGTGTTTTCCAGATAGCAATTAAACATTTTAAATAATCTTATTAAGATATAGGCATTATAGGTAAAGTATTTCATTATCTGAGGTAATTTTCTTTTGTGACACGTCTGTTCTGTTCCCGTTGCAGGTCATCCTGTTCAGTTCTACAGCATGAATAGGCCTGCCTCTCGTCATACTCCCCCAACAATAGGAGGCTCATTGCCCTATAGACGCCCTCCTTCCATAACTTCACAAACAAGCCTTCAGAGTCAAATGAATGGAGGACCTTTCTATAGCCAGAATCCAGGTTAGATTTTCTTTTGCCTTCTATAGAATGTGCCAATTAAAAACTTTTCATTTAGAAAGTCCCCTAATTATCAATAACTAGCACATGCTAGGTAGTTGGTACTATTTGTTGAATGAATGGAAGAATGAATGGGTACTAGGTTGCTAATATTGTATCTTTAACTTTTTTTTATTCAATTCATGATTTCCATGTAAAGTTATAGGACTTAATTTTTCCTAGCAGAATCCTTTTGAATGCGCTAGTGGTTATTTGCTCTTAAAAATAATACTGTCCTTGCTGTATGAGTAACAAAGAATGAACAGAGTTTAGCAGTGGCAAAGGAAAAGGGAAATGATATTTTTGAAGCTACTATATGCTAGGCAATTACACTATTATTTCTTACTCAATTCTCATAGCAAACACATTATGGGAAAACTGAGACTTGGAGAAATTGATCTGGGTATAATAATTATAATAATTGCAGCATGAACATGTAAAAATTAATTTAGCATGTATTTAATGCTTTGTATAATCATTATTTTGCTTAGTCTCCAGAAGCAAGAACAAATATTAGACTCTATTACAGACGTAGCATCTCAACTTAATGTGTTTTTCTGGATTTTTGCCAAAGAGGTCAGTAAACCCATATGTGAACAACTGATGGTAGGGACAGCTTATTCTGTCTTTGATAAGCCTTGAGTTTTATGGAACCAAAATTTGTCTAGCATGCTACTACCTATAGTTAGGTCCTTTGAAGTCTTGTTGAAGAATTTTGATCTTCCTTCTACTTAAGCAATTACAATTTAAAGATTTTTTTTTTGAGATACCGTGTTTCCCCCAAAATAAGACCTACCCCCAAAATAAGCCCTAGCAGGATTTCTATGCATTTGTTAAATATAAGTCCTACCCCAATAATAAGACCTAGATATGCTGCATAGCCACGCCATGCATTTTGGGGTGGAGAGGAAGACATCCCCTAAAAATAAGTCCTAGTGTGTCTTCTTGAGAAAAAATAAATATAAGACAGTGTCTTATTTTGGGGGAAACACGATAGTCTTCTTGTGTCACCCTGGGTAGAGTGCTGTGGCATCCTAGCTCACAGCAATCTCAAACTCTTGGGCTTAAGCAAATCTCTTGCCTCAGCCCCCAAGTAGCTGGGACTATAGGTGCCTGCCACAATGCCTGGCTATTTTTCTGTTGTAGTTGTCATTGTTTGGCAGGCCCAGGCCAGGTTTGAACCCGCCAGTCCCCTTGTATATGGCCAGCACCGTAGCCGCTGAGCTACGGGTGCCGAACCTAAAGAATGTTTTGTATTAATTGTCTCATTTGATTCTTACAGTTATGTACAAAATAAGATTGGTGATCATTTTCATATGGATTTTCAAGGAAAATCAAGGAAAGTGAGGCTGTTCCCTGATTGATTTCTCCCAGTCTCAGTTCCCAGTTGTCTAAATTCAGCCTATTTTATTCTTTCTCCCTTCCTCATCTTTCAGCTCATTATAATATAGAATCACTTAGCATCTCTAAAGTCTGAACACATCCATCACCAGCAGTTTTATGCAGAAACTATCCCTGTCACTGGGTAACTCATTACCAATCAGCAATGTGTTAAGTGCTATTTGTATTTAAATGCAGTTTTTATTCTTAAATTTCAGTTTATTAGACATAGCCTCTTTCCTAGTTCTGCTGAAGATAGAGTCTGTCTTTGGCTCTCTTAGAAGGCTAGACAGTTATTGCTATGGCTTTTATGCACTTACCTTATCCTTTTTTTTTTTTTTTTTGAGACAGTCTCAAGCTGTCGTCCTGGGTAGAATACTGTGGTGTCACAGCTCACAGCAACCTCAGACTCTTGGGCAAGCGATTCTCTTGCCTCAGCCTCCTAAGTAGCTGGGACTACAGGCGACCACCACAACACCTGGCTATTTTTGTTGTTGTTGTTGTCATTTTGTTTAGCTGACCGGGTTCAAACCTGCCAGCCTGGGTGTTTGTGGCCGGCACCTTATCCACTGAGCTATGGACACGGCCACTTGCCTTATTTTTATGTAGAGTTTTGAAAGAATGGCATTAGTCCAAAATGCATTGGTTGTATAATGGAGCTGGGAGATGTTTTACTATTACAGATTAAGACCAACTATCCATGATACATAGTAAATATATACAGGGATATTTCATGCTTTGTGCATGTACTGAATAACCAAAGTAGTCCCATGAGAACTCTGTAGTTAGAATTATTTGAAGGCTGTTTTAGCACATATTTAAGTACATTTTAAAATATGTATTTCAGTGCTTCTTTCTTTGTAAATCTCACGTTAGCACACTTGAAAGTATATGTTAAGATAGAAATATATCCTGTTTTATGGAATGATTTCCATGAAGTTTTTTTTTTTTTTTTTCACATTCATGTTAGTAAGGTGAAGTGGGATTATTGGGTCTTCAGCATTATGTGTGAGGCAATTTAGTTGTAGTTTTTTGTACTTTCCACCTTTCTTCTCCAGGGATTTGGTAACTGTTTAAAGAAGGTGACCACAGCTTTGTTAGTTGGTTAATTGGAGTGCTTCTTTTAAACTGATTCTTTTTTTTTAAACAAACCATGGTCTTTACAAAGCTCTTTTTGCAAGACTTAATGCCTTGTGAACCAGTGTTCTAAGGTTGTTAGATGTGCTTCGACTTCATTTGCATTAGAATATTATATAAGAGCTGGGCACAGTAGTATTTGTGTGCAATGCCAGCTACTTGGAAGGCTGAGGTGGAAGGGTCACGATCCAGAGTTCAAGTCTGCAGTGAGACTTGTGAATAGCTACTGCACCTCCCACTCTGGGCAACATGGTAAGATATCACCTGTAGAAGAAAAAAAAGAATACATTTTATATAAATCTCTTGTGTTATTTCCACTGGCCCTACGCTTTCCTTTTTTTTTTTTTTCTTTTTGAGACAGAGTCTCTTAGTGTCATCCTGGGTAGAGTACTGTGGCATCATAGTTCACAGCTACCTCAAATCTTGGGCTCAAGAGGTCCTCTTGCCTCAGCCTCCTTAGTAGCTGGGACTACAGGTGTGCACCACTAGCCTGTTTTTCCTGTTTTTTCATGTTTAAAATTAGAAAATTTGTTGAGGTTTCTTAAGTAGCTAATTTTCTAATTTAACAAAAATCCCAGGTTGTGTGTTTTATGAACAGCTTTTTTTTGTTTGTTTTTAAACAATTAAGGACTTGGATGTGGATGAGTGCTTCTGATGGAGTGAGCTAACAGTCTGGGATTTATGTGAATATAAATTCAATGGGGTTCTGTGAGGTATAAATCTAGCAAAAATATTACTACTAATTAATGCACAATTTGATTTGAGTTTGAAAAAGAGGATTATGACATAGGAATTAAAATATAGAACACCCATTTGTGCCAGTTATTTGGTATACTAATTATACTATTTCAGAAACAAATTATTGACCAGGAAATAACTAAAATTCCTTTGTTTCTCAATGTTTCTTAATTTAATCCAACTAAAGTAATAGAAATATACGTTAGCGGTAGTAAGGAAAGTCATAGAAACAACATAGGGAGCTAATGAGTTAATCTTTACTTTAAATGTAAATATGAGGCATCTTGTACATATGTATCTGTACACATACATTAACTTATGTATACATAAACCTTGTTTGGTAAGGAATCACTAACATTTAAGTATAAGCACGTATGTATGTACTAAGGCTTTTTAGTAGGAAGTAGGCAGTATTTTACTGCTCATATTTTCTTGCAATAAATGCTTTTAACAAATCAGTGGAATGTTAGTTCCAGCAGATACGACTGTAGTTGTATGAGACAGGAATTTCTTAATGGGTATGCTGTTTTTTAGAGGGAAAATGTCAGGATTTATTAATGGTTTTAAAAACCACTGAAAACAAACAGTGTAGAAATGATGTTGGCATGGTGATACTGCAAAAGAAAAGCTGTATCACATGTTCTCTAAATGATTAGTAAAGTTTACAGCATTATTTACCATAACTCTCCAAAAGAATACAGATGTGGGCTTTAGCAAAGTATAAATAGCCAATAATAAGAACAGTAACAAGAAGCTGTTTTGAATACTTATTTTAGGCAATCTTTAGGGTGTGCTGGATCCTTGAGTGTAGCCTTCTGATGGAATCCGAATTTCACAGAACAAATCTTTTTAATAAAGGGGTTTGTTCTGTGAAGTTTGGATTTAGTTGAGGGGCTACATTTGGGGATCTGGAGGGCCACGTAATGGCTTTGAGGCTGAAGGCTCCCCACCCCTTAACCAGTTAAACCAGATAGGCGCTTTCACTGTTGGACACAAATTATATTTTAATACCGTGTGTCTTGATCTGCTGCTGTATCTTACGGTAACATCATATGGTGTTTTGTTTTTTTTTTAATTTGAAAAGAAATAACAAAAATGATCCAATGTTTTAAACTCTTCTGAGACTTCAGGACTAATAGTTATTTGATAGCTACACTCTTTTTCATTAGAAAAGCTCTTCTTATTAATATGTTAAGTTAACTTTTAAGTACTCTTTATTCTGAGTTGCTATTTATATTTAGAAAATACTTTACTCTTTAAATTGCTTTAAATTATTTCTATCACTGGAACATAAAATATAAGCATCTAAATTTGAATGGGTTGTCATGAGTCTTTATGGCTTGTAAAGGTGATGTTCTTTAGTGGCTTTAGAAATAGTATTGAGTATTTGTCTAATTTTCTCAGTATTTATAGAACTGTAAAAATAAAATGTAAGGGCTCCTAAGAGTTTAAAATTTTGTAAGAGTTTATTTTTCCAAACTCTTTGAATGGAACCTTTAAAAACACTAAACCTCAAAAATGATGCTTCGGAGAACTTTATAAATAACCAGAAAGGTTATGCGTAGAAAATCTGTACATTTCACCAGCCATAGACTCATCTCTTAAGTTTGCTTGGAAGTGTTTGTATGTAAATTTTGCTCTGATCACATAGCTATCATTCTTATAACTGTTCTACTTATGATCGCTGTAGAGTCTAGTCACTTGGTGAGCCTTTCTTTACATTAGCTTCATTATTGTGTATTGTGAAAATAATATAGCTGAGTATAACTGAAAACTAAGTTTGGAGACCTTTTGGTGGTTACAGGGGAAGCCTTGTTACATGAGAAATCATTTTAGCTAAATGGAATGAAAACAAGTTTATAAAGTTACTTTTTGCTCTTGCTTGTGCACAAAATGACTTGGACCGGAACTGGATATTGCAAGTAATTCTTTACATCAAAATTCTGCTTAAATTCTCCTAGAATTTTCAGTTCTGTCTATATAGGCCAATATATTCTGGTTCACGGATGTTCTGTTTAGATGAAATCCTATGTACTGCCCTCTCCCAGGGCTATGGTATCTGAATTAATTTGGACCACCATGTTAAGTGTTTGCCCTGGGTAAAAAATGTAGAGTTTAGGATCACCTTTCTAAACCCCAGATGGAACTGAATTTTTAAACATGTTACACACTAGCTTTGAAAAAAATCTTAAGTTGTTATAAATTCAGTCTGTTCAAGGGAGATCTGAGATTGGTTTTCCCCTGGCTTTTGTTGGTGGCCTTCTTAAAACCACTGTAGTTTCAGATTTATTTTATTTATTTATTTTTTTGAGACAGAATCTCACTTTGTCACCTTCAGTGGAGTGCTGTAACATCACAGCTCAGAGCAACCTCAAACTCTTGGGCTTAAGTGATTCTCTTGCCTCAGCCTCACAAGTAGCTGGGACTACTGGCACCCACTACAATCCTGGCTTTTTTTTGTTTGTAGTTGTTGTTTGGCAGGCCTAGGCTATATTCAAACCCGCCAGCTCTGGTGTATGTGGCTGGCGCCCTAGCCCCTGAGCTATAGGCGCCAAGTCCAGATTTATATTTTCAAAACTAGAAAAGAAATAAGCATGTTTATCTTAAAAAAAAAATTTAGCCTTCCTACAACAAGACTAATGGGGGTTAAGCACCTAATCATTCTTTTTTAGCCAAGTACCAGAAGGTTGTGGCTTTGTTTGATAAACAATGACTGAAGTAGGAAATTTCCTACTTTTCTGTTACAGGGAAGGTTGGGATATGTGCCAACAGAAGCGTTTCATCTTAATTTGGTGTGAACGTGAATCTTACCTCTGCTCTCCTGGTGCCACTTGCTGTCTGCTGCAGTTTTATATTTTGTCTCTGCTACCTTCTGTATTCATTGACTTCTGCTTACCTCACATATTAGAAAATAGGGTATTAGGAACATGTCAACAGTTGTTCCATTCCAAGCCTCTAAGTGGGAGACAGACACTTGGGGCTAAGGATTTACTGCTAAGAATTACAACTTTAGGGAAGAAGCTAACCAAATGTATCTTTTAAAGAAAGATACCCATTTGTAGGGGGATAATGCTGTGTTCCTTATGTCTAGCTATTCTCCAAGATCTGCTTAACTCTGCTGGTGCATTTATATGTTCCCCTCGCAGCTGTCTAAGGTGTTAACTTTGTCTCTGGACTGACTGATGACTAATATCTCTGTAACTTGTTTTTTGTTTGTTTGTTTTGGGGCATTCGCACTTTGTCACCCTTGCATGCTTTTTACACCCATTGTCTTTTTATCTTTGTAACCAGTAAGTGTAGTAGGTTATGTTATCTCTTTGTCATCTCACATTTATAGAATAGGCTGGAAGAAATTAACTGACATGCTGCCAAACAGCAAGAATTGGCACATCAGAGATTGAGGCTGAGTGACTTTAAAATCCAATTTCTTTGACTAATCTTTTTTTTTTTTTGAGACAGAGTCTCACTTTGTCACCCTGTATAGAGTGATGTGATGTCATAGCTCACAACAACCTCAAACTCGGGCTCAAGTGATTCTCTTGCCTCAGCCTCCTGAATACCTGGGACTATAGGCGCCCCCACCACACCTGGCTACTTTTTAGAGATGGGGTCTCACTCTGGCTCAGGCTGGTCTTGAGCTCCTGAGCTCAGGCAATTCACCTGCCTCCGCCTCCGAGAGTGCGGGCCTGAACCATTGCCCTTGGCCTGTCTAAGCACTCCCTCACCTGGCATATAGCGTCCTTCCCTGTTTCATATCTACCCAGTCAGGTGTTTTACTTTCTCTTTCAGGTATTTATGCTAGACATATGGAAACATTTCTGGTCCTGTGTACTGGTAATGCTGTTTTATGACACTCAGTCTTTGCCCTCACTTGGTTCTCTCTCACTGATTATTTTTCTCAACCTCTTGTCTGCCTGGTGAACTCCCTTTCTTCAGAATTACTTCTTTGTAGCCCTCCTCAGTACCACCACCACCACCTTCGGGGAATTACTACAAATATCATTAAGATTTTACTTTCTGGCTCGGCGCCTATAGCTCAACTGGCTAAGGCGCCAGCCACGTACACCTAAGGTGGCGGGTTCGAATCCCCAGCCTGGACCCGCCAAACAACAATGACAGCTGCAACCAAAAAATAGCCGGGCGTTGTGGCGGGTGCCTGTGGTCCCAGCTACTTGGGAGGCGGAGGCAGGAGACTCGCTTGAGCCCAGGAGTTGGAGGTTGCTGTGAGCTGTAATGCCACGGCACTCTACCCAGGGGGACAGCTTGAGGCTCTGTCTCAAAAAAAAAAAAAAAAAAAAAAAAGATTTTACTTTCTCTTCTGTTCCCAAGTGGAATGTGATCTCCTTAAGGGCAGAAGAAATAGATGTATTTTTAAAGTTTTGTTAATCTTAACTGTAATTTGGAGCTAGTAAAGGCATGCTCAGTAAGGAGGCACACACCATACTTTATACCCGTTCTGAAGGAAACTATGACTGTAGAGTTAATCCTGTGAGATTGCTTGGCATATACCTTGCTTGTTCAGAGACTTATATGTGTGAAACAACGATTGAAGGCTTACTAGGTCTAGGCACTTTGCTAGGTGATTGAGGTGGAGGGAAAAACACCTTGGGAAGGAGAATGGGATTATTTGAATAAGGCCAGCACCTTTCTGTAGGGTCTGGGAGGAAATGTACCAGTGGGTTAGAATCATGAAAAATTGTAATGATGTAGCACCAGACTCTTGAGAGAATGGTTTTGATATATTTTCCTAGCAGAGTGGTTGCCACTTAGTAGGAAGTCAGTAAATAATTGTTTAGTTAATGAATGAAGAACCAATTAATTTGTGTTAATGCAGTAATAAGTGCAAATTTAAAGTATTGGGATGTATTGTTTTTTTCCCTTCTTTATTGACAAAGATTAAACTTATAGCCTTCTAAGGAAAATTCAGAAACCAACTTGGTAATCTGTAGAAATTCTTTCTTTGAGAAGGCATGTTATCAATATGAACAAAGTCAATTGTCATATGTTAGGGTAGATCTATATATGATAAATGCTTCCTGTGCTTTAAGTTTTAAAAACTTACTAAAAATTCCCCAGGTGCTTTGTTTTATGTGTTGACACATCAAAAGAGCATCCTTAATATCACTTATAAAATGTTTGTGAATAGAGATTTCCCTCTTTTGTGCATTCATTTTACTGCATTACCCTTTCCTTCTAATGTGACGCGCCCTCATCCCTCACCCTCCGCACTTTGTTTTGTTTTCGCAGTATCTCTCGCTCCTCCTCCTCCCTCCATCCTACAGGGAACTCCTCAGTTACCTTTAATGGGATTTGTGGCCAGAGTCCAAGAAAATAGTAAGTTTGTGTCTTCTTTATGCTGTAGATCAGATTATAGGTATAAAATGTCATTTAGGTAAGATTGACTGAATGGTCATTCATTTCTTCATATTTTAAATATTTGAATATTGTGAACAGCCATTGTCTGAATAGCAAGTAGGGGTGTTAATATAATTAAAATAAAATTTTCTACTTTTGAATAGCTTAAAATATAGTAGTGAAGGTAAGGCAAATAAATGTAAAATGAAGCACATGTAAGTAAAGGAAGATCACATCTGGATGAGGTGACACTCTTTAATCACCAGCTAGCTCATCTTTTTTTCTCTAGTTTGCTCAGATAAGTAATAGTCTTGTTTCTTACCACTGGAGTTTTAGGGGTTGGTAGTGTAGATGGCCTGAGAGTCTTCCTCCAGAAGTATAAAAAGGGCCATGTCATGGTAGGGTCCGAGGACCAAGCTGCCATCTGTCTCCTAAAAGGCCTCATAGATTGGCAATTAATTTATTTTAGCCTGTGGTCTAGTATTGAGCCCTGCAGAATCAGATAACTGATGTTATTGACACATTTAGTCTTTTACTAGGGAAGCATTAAGGAAGCTCAAGAACCATGTATCAATATTCAATGAGGAATTGCTGACACAGAGAATATGAACATAATCTGCATGATGGATGAATTCTTTTCTTGCGAGCTGTCTACATGAGAAACCACATCATAATCATAAGGTTGAGTGATGAGCATGAAATCTGAAGTAAGGGAATTATATTAAAGATTTAATGGCATTAGGCCAGCACAACCGAACGTATATATCTCATAACAAGAATGCCCTCACTGATGGATAGAAATATTTGCAATCTGTTGCTTAGGACTCCTCCTTCTTTAGAAATGGCATTGCCAACTAGAATATAAGCTCTATGAGAGCAGGGTTTTTTTCTTTCATTTTTTTTTTTTGCCTGTTTTGTTTGCTGGTTGTGTCCCCGGTACTTATAAAAGCATCTGACACATAGCAGGTACTTTTGGTCCCTCTTTTTTTTTTTTGAGACAGAGCCTGAAGCTGTCCCCCTGGGTAGAATGCTGTAGCATCACAGCTCACAGCAACCTCCAACTCCTGGGCTCAAGCAAGTCTCCTGCCTCAGCCTCCCAAGTAGCTGGGACCGCAGGCGCCCGCCACAGCACCTGGCTATTTTTTGGTTGCAGCCATCATTGTTGTTTGGTGGGCCCAGGCTGGATTTGAACCTGCCACCTTAGGTGTATGTGGCTGGCGCCTTAGCCACTTAAGCCACAGGTGCCCTCTTTTTTTGTACTTCTGTAGCTGACTAACAGCCATCACTCCCTTATTGACATACCCTTTTTAAAGATGTGTTTGTATTTGAACTGATGATAATTCAGTTGTACTGGCCTGAGGGCTCAGCGGCTCTTTTAGGTGCCTTTGGATTTCTACTTGCTATTTTCTGAAAATGGTCTATTTTACTTCTGTTTATTGGAAGTTACCTCATGCATGCACACCTATAATGCTTATCACACTGTGATTTCTTAAGATGTTTTGGTAAATTTAAGAACTTTTTCATATATGATTAGGTAGGTTTTACATGTTTTTAAATTGTGCTATTGGGACCCAGTGTTGTTTTGGCTTGTGTGTGAACCCAGTACCCCAGAGAGAAAATGTCCCCTCAGCAAGGTTCACTTAGTCTAGCATGCACTCAGCACAGTTACAGTATGTCCTGTTGCCAGGCTTGTGTGGTCAAATATGGGATAGAGGTCACTGTTACATTTGGTTTTTATGATGTGGTGTTGCTCAACAGAACAAAGTGGTTTTGAGTAGATTCTGGAGTAAAGGCCAGATCTGGAAACTGAAATTGAAGACTGATCTATCAGTCAAACAGGAATGTTTATTATAGGAACTAAATGGTTATTTTCTTTGCAAAAAATTAGGTTTAAAAGTTGAGTAGGATTACACAACAGGATGTCATTAATTTTCACTAGACATTAGTGGAAGTTGCAAAGTGTATAGAAACATCAAAATGTTTCATGAACAGACCAGACCCCCCAATACTGTTTTATTGAAGTGTGGTAATCATGCACTTCAATAAAATAGAAATGTTTTAAGAAGAGGGCAGCACCTGTGGTTCAGTGGGGCGCTATCCCCACATACCGAGGGTGGCATTCAAACCTGGCCCCGGCCAAACTGCGACAAAAAAATAGCTGGGTATTATGGTGGGTGCCTGTAGTCCCAGCTACTCAGGAGGCTGAGGCAAGAGAACTGCCTAAGCCCAGGAGTTGGAGGTTGCTGTGAGCTGTGATGCCATGGTACTCTACCAAAGGCAATAAAGTTGAGACTCTGTTTCTTAAAAAAAAAAAAAAAAAAGTTTTAAGTAGATAATTATAAAACATTAATTAATAGCAGTAGCACTACCTATATTTTAAAAGCCATTCTCTATTTGGCCACTGTGTTACAATTGATTGCCTTTTGGCATAGTTTTTTTCATTTCTTTCTATGGTGATACACATTTTTCACATAAAAAAAGTGCAAAATAAAAATCATTGTGTATAAAGTATGCTGTGACTGACTTTACAAACTTAGCAGACTTAGACATTCAAATGAATGTTATTTTCAGAACATTCACCGTAGAAAGATATATACTTTTGGAATTATCTTCAAAGCTTTTCAGGTATATTATTTTGAAGATACTCTGTGGTAGCACATATTTACTCTGCATTAAGTTTGATAATTTGGAAGAAGTCTGGAATCATTTGGAACCGATTATAGTGAACCAGTTTTACCAGGGTAAGAATCATGGTAATGATCCTATTATTCTCCTTAAAATCCTTCTGCAGCTTTTCATTGCTCTTTGGCTAGAGTACAAACTGTTCTAAGCCCTTTCCTGCCAACTCCTCTCCACCTTCCTCATGCCTCTTTCTAATGAACTTTCCACAGTTCTTTGAAAGTTTCCTTCTTTCTTACCTTTGTACTTGTTTTATTCTTTATCTTACATCAAATACATCCCCCCATGCCATCCTACCCTCTTCTCCCGTTAACCCTTACTCATCCCTCAGGTCATAGGAAGCCTTTCCTCACCCACACAAGAGGTTGGTCTGTGCTGTGTATTTCCATGATATCGTAAAGCACTACACTTAATTGTAAATGAAAGTTTTATTGTCTGTGTATCTGTGACTTTTACCCACTTCTGTTCCTCAGTGCTGAGCATAATACCTAGCCATAGCAAACTCTTAGTTGATTTTTGTTGAATTAATAATAATGAAACATGATTTTACAGTTGTTGAGTTTATCTCATTTCATAGTATTATAGCTTTTAAGATAACAGGCATTGAGAGTCCTTGCTATAGGAATACTTAATCTTGTAAAACCCCATTTTACACATCCATAAAATGAGGATTCAAAACATCATCTCCCAAGATAAAGATTAAATGAAATATTAGAAGTATTTAGAACTTTTTAAGCAAAAAATGGTAGCTTATGTTAGTTGTAGTAAACTGAATGTAACACAGTTATTAAAAAGGTAAAAATTGAGTAATGGCAGCATCTTAATTTTGTAGTGTCATTTCTCAAGGTGGTTGTTTTGAAAGTTTCTTTGGATCTGCATTTTTGTGCTTGTTTAATGTCAGTCTTTTTACCTTACAAATACAAATGGATATATTGTTCTTTCTTACCTCATCCATAAAGTATATGCTAAGATCACATATCTATGTCTTTTAAACATCAATAACCATTAGAACTAATGAATTTTTGTTTATTGAGTTAGGTTTATAGAGTGGCATACCAGATAGGAAGAATATTGAGATAGGACAGTGTACGGTGTTGATGTGACTGATCCTCACCAGGCATCAGCAGTCTTCTAAAATCCATTTGATTCAATCAGCAGCTTTGATAAAAAATTAGAATGTGAACAAGATTGCTCAGAGAATTTTACAGAAACAATACTGGTACCTCATAAATAAGAATTAGTGCTTATTTGTTTGTTAAAACTGAGGAGCTGATGAATGCAGGCTTAACTAATTTTATTCTGTTGAGTTGTGCTCCAGTATATACCAAGCATTTTGAAAGCTTTGACTTTTGAAGTTAGTTGTTTAGATGTACTGTATGCTGGTACCTGAGCCGTGGAAGCAGATCTCTATAAGAGATATTTTAAAATGTTTTAAATCACTCTGATAGTATACTTGGATAGTTAGCCTGAAGAAATTCAGAATCATTCTGTAAACAAACAAAACATCTTCATGAATGAAATTACCTAAGTTTACCCAATTTGATAAAATATTTTAAAAAATTTATTGAGAGGAAAGTAGATTATTAAAATTTAGCTATTCCCTGGACTCGTTCTAATTTATTATAAGTGAAATGTGGTTATAAATGTCCAAATTATTAATATTTCTGATAACTCCTCTTTGGATATAGTGTAAAGCTTAGTGTAAAGCTAAAGTATGTTGTATAGCTCTCTTTGAAAAGAGGATTCTATTTTAGCATAAACAAGTTTCCAAGGCTCAGTTAATTATTTTGGCTCAACTTTATTCAGCATCCATCAGCACTAACAGGAGAGGCAGGGAGGAAGTTATGCTTGGAGATTTAGAACATTATAGTTGGCAGGAAGACTTTGATTGCTCACTTATGTTTTGACATACGATTATTTTTAAGACTAGTTTTATATTCTATTAACCTAGAAGCTTGAAGGAGAAATACTGAACTTTGCATAGCAATATGTAGTTCTGTTTTCAGCTTGATACATTCTTAGTTTCAGATACACCACCTCCACCACCACCTGTGGAAGAACCAGTCTTTGATGAATCCCCCCCTCCGCCACCTCCCCCAGAAGATTATGAAGAGGAGGAAGCTGCTGTGGTTGAGTATAGTGATCCTTATGCTGAAGAGGACCCCCCTTGGGCTCCAAGGTCTTACCTAGAAAAGGGTAAGTTTCAGAAGGATCGTCTGGTGGGATGGGAAGAAACCTTTACATAGAAATGGAATTTGCTGGTATGGAAGAAAATCTTGATTTTTTTCTTAATAAGTAAAGTTTTATTTATGTGTATTATCTGTACATTTTTATTAATTTAGTCTATAAGGTTCATGATTTTTGTAAGTCACACCTGTAAAATTCTTTGAAGATTTCAGTATTTTTTAATCGATGGTTACCTATTGTTCCTGTGAACATACTCTTTGTGTATGGTTTCTGTAAGAGAAAGATCACAAAAAGAGTGATTTTCTGTTTCCTTTGGTTTCAGGAAGAGGATTATTTCTCCAAATTATTAGTTATTCCTACTCTCATGCTTTCAAACAGTATTTTGAGTCATCTTAGATAGTTCGGTTTAAGTGTTTCCATATGAAATTTTGTTCCAAAGAATAATGGTTTCTCTTTTTTTTAAATTTCTTTTAGTGGAAACTTTCTCTGAGAATATTTACTAACCATGACAGAGCATGTTGGGACACAAATTTCCAAAATCTCATCAGGACTAATCAGCTCATAAAAAATATGCTGTCTAGAAGGAAATTTTCTGTTAAGGAAATTAAAGCTGCTAATCCATTTTAGCAGCTTTAATTCGCCCCCAGTAGAATGTCATGGGGTCATAGCTCACAGCAACCTCAAACTCTTGGGCTCAAGTGATTCTCTTGCCTCACCCTCCCAAGTAGCTGGGACTACAGGCACCTACCTCAAAACTGGCTATATATTAGAATCACCTGGGAAATAGTAGACTTCTAATTCTGGCCAAGATAGGCAACAGTAATCAGATTTATACCTCCTCTTAAAGCAGGAATTAAAAAAAACACATAATAGTTTCTAGACATTGAACAACAGGCATTAGCAGACTATGACCCCAGAGAGGAGGAAATACAAAATATTGTTTTCTATTATATAGCTATTATAAATGGCACATATAATCAGTAAAGGAAAACATGAACATCAGAGAGAAATGTAACATTTTTTTTAAAAGAATGAGGAAGAGAAACCAATATAGAATTTCTGGAGACAAAACATACAATATCTGAAATGATGGCCCAGGAGAAGCATTACTGATGCCATGGTTATAGGAGCTGTCCAAAGTGAGGCACAAAGAAAAGAGAAGAAAAAGCAAACAAAACAGAGCAACAGATATGTGGGACTAGGTCAAATAGACTTTTTTTTTGTTTGGTTTTTTTTTTGGAGACAGAATCTCACTTTTATTGCCCCCAGTAGAATGTCATGGGGTCATAGCTAACAGCAACCTCAAACTCTTGGGCTCAAGTGATTCTCCTGCCTCAGCCTCCCAAGTAGCTGGGACTACAGGCGCCTATCACAACATCCGGCTACTTTTAGAGACAAGGTCTCTTTCTGGCTCAGGCTGGTCTTGAACTCCTGAGCTCAGGCAGTCTACTTGGCCTCAGCCTCCCAGAGTCTTGAAATTACAGGTGTGAGCCATTGCTCCTGGCCTAGATCAAATAGTCTTAACTTTGATGAAAACTATTAGTTGTCTATTGCTGCCTAACAAATTATTCCAAAATTTAGTGGCTTAAAGAAAACACATTATCTCCCAGATTGTGTAGCTTAGCTGGGCCCTCTGATGTAGGGACTCTGACATGGCTGCAGTCAAAGTGTCAGTCCAGGCTGCAGCTATTTCAAGGCTTGACTGAGGGAGAATTTACTTTCAGGCTCACTTTTGTGGTCATTGGCAAGATTTAGTTCCTTATGTATTGCTACTGATGACCTCAGTTTTCTCATTGGCTGTTGGCTGGAGGCTTCCCACAGTTCTGGGCCACATGGACCTGTCCATAGGGCAGCTCACTTTCTGGCAGCTTGCTTCATTAGAATGAACAAGAACAGCCAAAAAGAGAGAATGCAGGCAAGGCAGAAGTTAATTAAGAGTCTGGGCTTTAGAGTTATACCAACTGGTTCAAATCCCAATTCTGTCATTTACTAGTTTGCAGAAGATGCTTAACTTTCCAAAATGTAGGCCTTGTGTTTGGTGCCAGGGATATACAGAGGTGAGTAAATGATAAGAGTCTTACCTTAGACTGTAGAGAGATTTTGTTTAGATTGCTGTTCCTTGTTTCAGTTTACATTATGAGAAACAATAACTTGAGTCCTCGTAGAGATTGTTTGCCACCATTGTATGACCCCATTATTCTTTGTTTACATTTAACACTGCTGCATACTTCCTGTAAAATTATAGGATAACAATAAAAGAGAACTGGTGGCTCGGCGCCTATAGCTCAACCGGCTAAGGCGCCAGCCATGTACACCTAAGGTGGCGGGTTTGAATCCCCAGCCC